TCTTTATTCTTGTAGTTTAGATTTTTAATTCCTTACTTTTTATTCAAGCTTTGTAATTTAGGATTCATTTGCTTTTGTAATATGAGTAGCTAATTTCTTTAGGATTTTTACGATTATATGAAACTAATTTAATTTTTTAATTTCTCTATTTTTGTACTTAAAATGATCATGCTTAGGATAATCAACTAGAATAACAATTAGTAGAAAAAGAATTCGATAGGCTATACTTATCTTAAATGGTTCTATAGTTTATGTTTTTTCAATTCTAAATTGCTCTATTCATCAATGGTGATATTTCTTGAAATTGTTTTTTTATAGGTTTTGCTTATTTTGAATAACTTCATAATCTTTTCTTAATAATCTAAGTAATATGAGACTTAAAAGAGAGTAGTTCTTAAATCTAAATAGGAATTAACTGGTGAATTAAATCTTAGATTTCTAGTTTTATCACTTGATCTCCTCTGTCTCTTTATTTGCTTATTCTATTGATCTTATTCTCTTTTTTATTTTCTTCTCTCTTCTCTTTCTTTCATTCTCTCTTCTTGTTTTCAGTCTTTTTATGTACAATAATCCCACCCAACTAATCTCTATACTCTTTAATTTTTTTCTTACATATTTTAAGAACCACTTTAAGACTTCTCTAATATCCTCCTTATTCGTGAGATTAACATTTGCATAATACACATGCTGGTTGTGAACTTGTAACAGTTTATTTAGAGCACATCAATCAGCGGCCATTTGAGCTTGATTCATGACATTTTTCTTATTTTCTTAGGTTTTTGTGGGTTCTTTTGCTAAAAACTTGACCAAAATTTTGAAGAATACTACTAGCATGATTAAGAGAATCTAAACTAGTTAAAAGACAAGTTATATAGTGTACAAATAAGTGAGTCACACAAGATCCTCAGAAAACCTAGTTCGTAGATATAAACTATTTTGTTAAATAAACCATAACTATATAAGACCAATCATGAGATGATATTAACATGAAACTCATGAAAGCATAAATAATTAAAGAGAACATAAATAATAAATAATAAAATAGGATTAAACAAGAATGGTGATGCAACCTCACTACTGGAGGAGGCACTTACCTTTATATTCAAGCATCAGCGATACATCTTCTTCTTCTCCACTCTACCACTGGATTTCTATCCAAGCATTAGTGATCTAATCGCACATATGTGAGATTAGAGTTTTGATCTATATTTTCATATGGAAGAAGAAGGGATTCTTATCTGTAGGCAAATAAAATTGTCTATACCCCTAACAAAGAAAAATCAAGGGTTTGCCTAACCATACAAGTTCGCCTGAATCAAATAAGAAAAGTCAAGCTAAGTCTATCAGATGACACAGCTTCGCTTGAATGAAATTTAGCTCACCTAAATGCTTAAAGTTTGCCTACATGTTTCAAGCTTCGCCTGAATAACTCACACCGATCCAAGTTCGCATGAATACTTGACTTTGCAGACAATGCTAAGTTTGCCTGAATGCTTAGCTCTCCTGAACAAAAGTTAAGCTCCCCTGAACGCTTAACTTTGCCTACGAAGCTCGCCTGCAAGCTTGCCAAGCTTTCCTGAGTGGTAGAGCTACCCTGAATGGTCAAGCTCGCCTGAGTTGTTTGACCAAGTCAGCCACTAAAGCCTGAATTATGGGTGTGGTTGTAGCCACTTCCCACGTTCTTAGGAGTTGGTTATGAACCATTCTCCTCTATAAAAAGCCACAAATGGCTACAGAAGAGGGAACCAGACTTTTGAACTCTTGGCATTGAGAGATCGAGCATTGAACAAATCTTCGTATTTTGTGCATTCGGCCCTCAAATCCTTAGCTAGGGTGTTCAAACTCGAAAGACAAAAATTCTATCATGCGCTGAAGGTTGTTCACAACCTTGTTCGAATTGTCAACGAGAAGCAAACTCGACTCAAGCATAAGGGAAAGAATCTTATCGCCCCGAAAGATCCCACGTTAAATAAAAGAGAGATTAGATCAATTCTCTCTTCTTCTGTGTAAAAGAGACTTCTAGTTTTTAATACACAATTTAATCAAAAAAATTTAGAATCATCTTTTATGACCTACAAAAGATGGCGACCATAGTGGGAGAAACCATTCTTTCAGACCAGATGGTGGTGGTGCAATTTGACGAGGTTGCTATAGGGACAACAATTGAGTCTCTCGTCATCAAGTTCAATCAAACTAAGTACTAAGGGTACTTATCTTCATCTTCTTCTGGTGGCAAGACGTCACGAAAGTATCACAAAGTCTTGCGTGCGACTCAGCCCCAACAAACTAAGGTTATTATGCTTGACAGCTCTTCCCGAGCAAACACTGGGGGTTCCATCCCTCCCAAGACCGTTGAGGCCGACTAAAAGGTAAAAAAATGCAAACCAAGGAGTCGCTCGATGGGTTGTCAAACAATTTGCACAAACTCCTATCTCTAAGACCATCTCTAACCACCCTCCAAATCTCCAAAATCTCCAAATTTGGAGAGTGGAACCTCTCCAACCACTCTCCAAATTTGGAGATCTCCAAATTTGACCCTCCAAATTTGGAGGGTGGGGAGAAATTTTGGAGGGTCTCTCCATAACCCTATTCATGATTTTTTATTTACAATTTTGCCATTTTAACTATTTGATTTCTTAAAATTTACCACTTTGCCATCATTCTTAGTAATTTAAATTAGATGTTTAATTTCAAATAAATATAGTTAAAAAATTATTAATCTAATATTTGAAATCATTATATATTTGAAAAGGGCCCGTTGACATCTTTAAAATGAAACTAAGATTAATTTATTTTAGTATTATTATAAAATTATTAATTTTTAAATTAAATAAATAAGTATCAGACATAAAATTTTAAATACGGGGATCTATTTAACTTGCTCCATAAAAAAATACAAGCATAAATTACAATATTTAAATTACATTCCTTCGTTGCCGTGCTTCTGCCATAAATGTTCAATTAGTGTGTTTCAAAGCATAAAATGAGCTTCCCTATCTTGAATTTTCCTATGTCGATCAAGGAATCGTTGGAATCGTTCGACATCATCAATATCTATCTCTTAAGGTCTTGAAATTTTGTCATGAACAATAATCTCTGGTTCTGCATCGCGTTCATCCTCCACAGTCATGTTATGTAGTATAATACAAGCAGTCATTATGTCGTGTAGTCTCCGCTTGTCCCAAAAACGTGATGGTCCCTTGATAATGGCAAATCATGACTGAAGAACACCAAAAGCCCGCTCTACATCTTTTCGATATCCTTCTTGCATAGCAGCAAAGAGCTGCCTCTTAGGCCCTTGTGGTTGGGATATTGTTTGTACAAGAGTAGACCATTTGGGGTATATCCCATCGGCCAAGTAGTAACCTGTATCATAATTCTTTCCTAAAATACTATAATTAGCAGGAGGAGAAATACCTTGTGCTAGTTGGTCAAACAAATTTGAAGATTGCAGTACGTTAATATCATTGTTAGATCCTGGTAATCTAAAAAAAGCATGCCATATCCATAAGTCATATGAGGCTACTGCCTCTAGAATCATTGTTGGGCCTCCGTGACGTCCCGAGTACTGTCCCGCCCAAGCCATTGGACAATTTTTCCATTTCCAGTGCATGCAGTCTAAACCGCCCAACATTCCCGGAAATCCGCGCTCTTCTCCTTTCCTTAGCAACCGTGCAATGTCACCCGTAGTGGGATACCTCAAATATTCATTTCCAAACACCTCTATAACTGCCCGACAAAACCTCTTTAAGCATTGGATTACGGTTGACTCACCAATCCTAATATATTCGTCGGTACTATCCGCTGAAGTTCCATACGCTAACATGCGGTGCGCTGCTATTTTTTTTTTGTAAAGTCGATAATCCTAATACACCAAGACCATCTCTCTTCTGCACAAAGTAGTTGTCGTGTTCTTTTACTGCGTTGACAATGCGAAGGAGTAGATCTCGTCGACATCGAAACCTTCTGCAAAAAAGAGCATCCCCATATGTGGGTTTCTCAGAAAAATAATCGTGCCAAAGTCGAGAATTACCTTCTTCTCTTCCTTGATTGATCACCACATGACCAGGAATCAATCCTTTACGTTTTCGTTCTCTGCTCTCTTGAAGACGACGAGCCAATATTTTCTTCAAGACTTCATCTCGCTCCTCCTGCTCAGCCAGTTCATTCTCCCAGTCTTGAAAGCAAAGATCGAGGGTCTCTCCATCGGAGGAAGAAGAAGAGTGGTTCCAAGATGACCCTTCTCCAAAGCTCATATTTTATTGTATGAAGAGAAAAGAGTTGTGATATATTGAGTTTTGTATTTAGAGTTCATATATTTAAAGAGTTGTGAAAGATTCCCACCATCACCTCTCGTCGGGTGATGTTTCCAAGAGCCATGTCCAGTCATGTCAATACCGAGTCTCGTGCTTGTCTTCTTGCAATTACCAGATTCCCACCATCACCTCTCGTCGGGTGATGTTTCCAAGAGCCATGTCCAGTCATGTCAATATCAAGTCTCGTGCTTGTCTTCTTGCAATCACCAGATTCCCACCATCACTTCTCGTCGGGTGATGTTTCCAAGAGCCATGTCTAGTTATGTCAATATCGAGTCTCGTGCTTGTCTTCTTGTAATCACCAGATTCCCACCATCACTTCTCGTCGGGTGATGTTTCCAAGAGCCATGTCCAGTCATGTCAATATCGAGTCTCGTGCTTGTCTTCTTGCAATCACCAGATTCCCACCATCACTTCTCGTCGGGTGATGTTTCCAAGAGCCATGTCCAGTTATGTCAATATCGAGCCTCGTGCTTGTCTTCTTGCAATCACCAGATTCCCACCATCACTTCTCATCGGGTGATGTTTCCAAGAGCCATGTCCAGTCATGTCAATATCGAGCCTCGTGCTTGTCTTCTTGCAATCACCAGATTCCCACCATCACTTGTGCTCGTCAGGAGACTTGTATTATAAATAATGGTAGCTTATCCCATACTTTTGTCCACCAATCTTTCTTCATCCACTATGACATCTGTTCAAGGAAAATCATTCAGTAACCAAGAAGATCAGTTCTTGTGCTTGGCATGGCTTGAAATTTCTCAAGACCCAGTCTCAGGCACATGCCAAAAGAAAGATAAGATGTGGGAAAGGATCACAGCAGTCTTCCATGAGAAGGTAGGTGATAGACAACGGTCACCAAAGTCTCTGGAATATCGTATGGACGCAATTAAGAAGGCAGCAAAAAAATTTCGGGGTTGTGTTCGACAAATCGAGCGACTGAATCCAAGTGGAGCTTCTGAAATCGATATAGTAAGTATATATTTTTACTATGGATTTTATAATATCATTTTCAACTGTCTAATATTTTTTGTTTGTAATTTTGTTAGTTGACTCAAGCTAGAATCATGTACGGAGAAGATGTTAAAGAAAAGAAAGGATTTCAATTCGATCATGTTTCGACGATCCTCAAGGATGCCGAGAAATAGGCTGACCCTAAATCCAATCATGCAGTTGGGAGCATCTCTGAAGGATCAGAGTCGAACACGGAGAGGGAAAGTTTTGTTAACATGAGTGATGGCCTGTCTCCCACGGACAGCCCAGCAAGTCGCCCTGTTGGAAGAAAGAAAGAGAAGGCAAAGAGAAAAATTTTGGCAGAGTTTAGTTATGAGGAGGGAATTATTAAGAGTATGCAAGAGTTGGATGCTAAACGTGAAATGAGCAGGGAAAAGTGGAGCGATTGATGATAATGAAACTTGAAAATGAAAAGATAAAATTAGAATTGCGAGCTAGAGAAGTAGAACAACGTGACCAACAATTAGCTCTTCAGCGTGAAAGCGAGGATAGACAAATTATGTTGACTGATCTCAGTAAGATCGTTGATCAAAGTGAACGTGCTTACTATCAACAAAAAAAAAGGAAATTATGAATAGAAAGGAATATAGAGCTCCATCATTCGACTATGGATTTTCCTCCAGAGGGCCAAGAGGATTTTCTGATCTTCTTAGAGGAGCTGTAGGAGGACAAAACGAATATGAATTTCCCACTGGAAATCAAGGAGGATTTTCTCAATTTGCTGGCGAAGCTGGTTCTGTAGGAAGAAATGAATATGGTGGTTCTTCGAGAGATCAGGATGGAACCGGTAGTTATAACGATAATGACCTGCCAGAATTTTAATTGTCTCTTATCATATTTTATGTTTGAGGTTTATGTTTGCGACTTATGGTATGTTGTATTAGAGGTTAATATTTGCTTTCTTGTTCTATCGATGTATGCTTTCACTGTTATTTCAGAATTTCTTCTTTTATGATATGTTGTATTGCAGTATTAATATTGGGTTCATTTTAAAGCTCTCATCGACACCTTTATAATGTTATAATTTTTTCCCAAGTAAATTGTTAACAATGAAATTATTAACGTAAACTATATCCAACATTCTTTAATTTATATGGCTTTTTTGACAAAAAAAATAAAAAGAAAAACATTTGGAGAGTGTGGGTTGGAGCAACCCTCCAAATTTCACCCTCCACATTGGAATATTCCTAGAATATTCCAATTTGGAGGGCCAAATTTGGAGGGTATGGTTGGAGATGCCCTAAGGGGACTAAGGTTCGTGTCGGCATGGATCACGCCTTCACCATTGACATGAACACTCCTCTTTCAAAGAGAATCAAGCAAAGGCGATGACAAGCTTGCGCTCACCGCGAAGCACGCGCTCTGATCTCCTATGGCGGCCTAAATTACTATTCAGGCCTTAAAAACAATGCTAGAACCATAATACGAAGTTCCCAGTTCTAGCGAACTACGCGGTTTAGGTGAACATCACACTACAGGCAAAAGTCACCGTTCAGACAAACTTCCCCAACCAAGCGAACGTAAATCAACTAGCGAACCTCACCAGGTTCACCTGATAGCTGAACCTCGCCTGCAAACCGAGCTTCACCAGAAAGGTAAAGCAGTAGTTCGCCCGACAGGCGCACTTCACCAAGTTCGCCAAATAGGAGAACCTCACCTAAAAGAGTAGGAAGCTGAACCTCGCCAACAGATTCGAGTTCACCAAACAACTGAAGCTCACCAGAATAGGTAGCCTCGCCTATCAAGGCAAGCTCGCTGGATTCCAACACTTGGTGTTTTTCGAAGTGTTTTTCCAAGTGTTCCTCTGAGCCTTCTTCTCACAATCACTCGTCCAATCCTTCTGATGCTGAGGGTTGTATGAATCGGCCCATAGTGGATCTTAGAGAGCGCTTGACTTGCAAGCATACTATTCACGAGGCAACTCCTTAGTGCCACTGCGAGAGGCTTATTACGATAGTACTTGCTGACTGCCAGTGTACTGAATTGTCGAGACCGTCGATATTCGGGAGGCTCTCAGGGTGACTAGCAGAAGCGAGACATCCTCGCCTAAGATGCAATCGTGTGAGGAAACATGCTCTTAATGATTTGGATCTCCCAGCTGTCACTATCAACATGACGGGGAAATCCAAGGTGAAAAATTTAGACTCCTTTGATGCTGATTTTTCACCAAATCTAAAAGGCCTTTTTATTGACCATGAGGGAGTCTACTAGCACACCCGGACTAAAAAAGGGGGTTGCCATACCTCTTGATTATAGGCGGTTAGCATCCATTTCTGATGATGATGACGATTGCTTGGCAGTAGCAATTTCTCAGGCTTCAAGCTCGATTCAGGGTGAGCGCGTAAAGGTGGACATGGCTGAAGTTTCTGAAAACATAGCCAGAAAGCTGGAAGAGCAACAAGGTGCAATTGCCACCCAGCAAACAATAATCAATGCCATGAAGGAAATGCTAGAAAAGCTTTTGAAAAAGAAGGAGAAGAAGAAAAAGAGGACATCACAGGCTACCCCAAAATCCTCAACCAAGAACAAAGGGCGGGAACCCACTCCTCCCTAAACCACAGAAGGGGAAGAAAATCCTGGGTCGCCTTCTGATTTGTCATCCAAGTCTTCGAAAGGGGCATCATCTTCTAGACACAATCCCCGAGATAAAAGGCTTGACAAGTTCCAAAGCTAATTCGACGCTTTGAAGCTCCAGAAGAATATGAACAACCTGGGGGTTGTCAGGATATATCTAGTCAATTGGGATATAGTCTCCTATTCGATAAAGTTCAAGCCCATGAGCCTAGTTCAGTTTGATGGCAAAGAATCTCCATCGCAACATATATATTATTTCCTGGCTCAGATAGACTTTCTTACAGGTAATGATCCTATATTGACCTGGTTATTCATCGGAATCCTGAATGGGGTAGCCTTTGAATGGTTTCAGAAGCTAGAACCAGGCTCTATCAAATCTTTAACTGATATGGAGAAGCTATTCTTGGCTCACTTCTTCGATGATAATACCGCAGTGTCGATGTCCACTCTGTTAGCTAAAAAATAGAGAAAAGGTGAATCCATCAACAATTTTGTGAAAAGATTTAGAAATTCCCTACATTGCCGTGATCAGGTCTCTAAAAGTACGTTGATTGAAATGTGCCGCAAAAATCATTCAATCCATATTTTGTCCAATGTTAGAGTGGTTGAAACCCAAACTTGTAAAAAGCTTGTTCGCCATGGCGAACAAGTGGAGAACATGCTCAAGAGGCTGGAAGTCGAAGAACCCCAACTAAAAAGAGGAGCTCCAAAGCAGAGTTCATCCAGAAATCCCACCCGATCAAAGGGTAAAGAGACTACGGCTGTCGAGACTATTTCAACCTCTAAGCCGGCTCAGAAGCAAAAAGCTACATCTTCTGAACCATGTTTCCAGAAGCAGTACAACTTCCAAGATGATCAAGTGGTTGCTATCTTCAACACCTTGCTCAAGAGCAACAAGATATAACTGCTAGAGATAAGGTAGCATGAGGATGCGGCTAAAACAGATGATCCTAACTACTATGTGTACCACTAGATGGTTCATCATCCCACCTCCAAATGTTATATCCTCAAAGATAAAATCTAGACCCTTTATGAAGTAGGGGTCCTTAAAAAAGGAAACAGCCCAGTAGAAGGTGACTACAAATATGGTCACTCTCAAGTTTGGAAAAGATATCCTCGAAGTCCTTGCACTATCGGGAGTTGTGCCCATTCCTAAAGCAGAACTGAGGATCGTCAACACAGACCCTCATCATCAGCAGGAGAAAGGTTTGGTACCGCAAACTCTATCGTCAGGACAAACCATGTAGGTCCATCCCAATCTCCTTAATGATAAGCAGTAGACTTCTAATCCTTCAAAGAAGTCCAAGGGTAAGGCTAAGCTCTGTAATGTGGTGTCTGCAATTCTAGATGACGACAAGGTAGAAGCGGTTGCTCTCACTGATTCTGACAACGAGATGGCCGTATTAGGTACCAGAGCTAGGAAATACTTTGCTAAGCATTACCCTCCAGCAGCAGAAAACTCTTCAAAGTCACCAGAATCTTAGGCAGTGCCTGAAAGGCCTAAACAGAAAGTGTTGCGTTACAACAAAGAACTGATGAAGGAGACTCCTGCCAGCTCAAGTAGTCAACCCTTTTAGTTCGGTGTCCTTGCACAACTGGCTAATATCCCAGCCACAATCACTTTATATGAGCTCTTGCGGTTATCCAAATCTACCCGGGAAGCTCTACGAGAAGCGCTAGCTGACAGTGAAGCTTTCACAACTCATTTTCTATCTGCACTTGAAGAGGAAGGAGGAAAATAATATCCTCAGTGTTGCATGGCATCCAATCAACACATCTGTTGCATCTTGTTCATCCCAAGGACATGCTTATCAAGACTACGAAGCATGATCGACCATTGTACATCACTGGGGACGTTGGCTCTGTCGAAGTAGAAAGAATCCAAGTGGATCCAGGGTCTGCACTAAGCACAGTTCCCCTAAAACTCATTCAACACTTGGGGTACCTCGGAAGCATTTATCTGCAACAAGCACTACCATCTTTTGCTTTAACGCCACAAGAACCCGTCCATTTGGGAAAATCCAACTCAAATGTCGACTGGGAGACATGAAGATGGAGGTGACCTGCTATGTAATCGATGTAGAACCCTCCTATAATATGCTATTGGGTCGGCCATGAACTCACATTTATAGAATTTTTAGCAAATTCTCAGCCATCAACGGGTTTGATTAGCCTTTACCGACTACCGTTTGAGTCGGGCTAGCATGCGAATTGTTTAAGTACGTTCCGCATGTGACGTTGTGCTAAAAGAGTTAACTCTTTTAGTGCTACGATATTGAATACGTAGACTTCTTTTTTTTATGGGAATGGACTACCCGGCAACACGTGTTAGGTGTTGACTTATCCCTTCTTATGATTCGGGATAAAAGTTCCCAGACTTGGATTCTAGTATCTTCTTCAATCGGTGAAAGACTAAACCGGCAACACGTATTAGGTGTTGACTTATCCCTACTTAGGATTCGGGATAAAATTCCCCACACGTATAAGGCATGGATTACGGAGTTGAAGGATGGTGTCAAAAATAGGAGAGGAAGAATATTATATTCTATCTCTCAAAACT